GGTTTCTGCTGAAAAATCAGCTAGTTGTCTGGTGAGTATTCCCATGTATGTAACAACTTGCTTTTCTCGGCTGCTTTCAAAATCTTCTCTTTGTCTTTGACTTTTTACTATTTGATTATAATGTGCCTTATTGTAGATATCTTTGGATTCATCTTGTTTAGATCCTTTGTATTTGTGACTCTGAATGTCCATTTCCTTTCCTTGGTTGGGAAGTTTTCAGCCATTATTTCTTTGAATAAACTTTCTAGTTCCTCCTCTTCCTCCTCTTCCTCCTCCTTCCCCTTCTCTCTCTCTCCATCTCTCTCCCTCCCTTATGGGACTCCCATATTGTATATATTGCTCTACTTAGTGATACCATAAGTCTCTTGGGCTTTATTTACTCTTTTTCATTTTTTTCTTTTTGTTCTTCTGAGTGAATAATTTCCAGTGACTTGACTCTGAGGTCACTTATCCTTTTGTCCACTTTATGTAGTCCACTTTTGAACCCCTCTAATGAATTTTTCATTTTAGTTATTGTATTCTTCAGCTCTGCAACTTCTTTTTGGTACTTCTTAAACTTTGTTTCTTTGTTGAAATTCTAACTTTGTTAATGTGTTGGTATCCTGACCTTGGTGAGCATCTTTATGATGTTATTTTAAATTCTGTCAGGTAAAGTATGTAGATCTCCAATTAAAAAAGTCATATCCTGGAGATATACTTTTCCTTTGTTTGGAAAACATTTCTGTGTCTGCTTCTCAATTGTTTCCATCACACTTAGCATTATATTTTCTAGTTTCCTTGCATGTTTTGTTATTCTTTATGTTATTTTTTATGATTAAATTTATGAATAAAATAATAGTGGAGACTAAAGTAGTTGATATTATCCCCAGAAAATGGTATACCCTGGTCTCTTAGGCCAATGTTATGGAAGACTAAGTCTATAACCTATATTTGAGCAAATACTGGGATGTATTACGCCTTTGTTTAGATTCTCCCCATCACTGTCTTCAAATGTTTTAGTAATAGAATCAGGATTTTAGTCTTAGCAGAGGTTGGAATCTGTACATGAATGAGACCATGAAGATCTCTTTAAGCTTTAGTCCAGTTCCCAGCTTTTTGTATCTGACAAATGCTCTTTGATTTCCATTTCTGCACTATTTTCTTCACCTTAAAGGTTTTCTGTCTACCCTGCTGCCTTCTCTCTAACCTTCAAAGGGCCATTGCAGTGAAGGACTGAGGTACCCCAGAAGTGTTTCTCTCAGCTCTTTTGTCCTGCCCAGAGCTATCAGAGTACCACTGCAATGTTTTCCACAAAGTTCTATAGTGCCCTGGAGGCATTTTTTTCTCCTCCCTACCCTTTCCTCCAGCTTTGCAAGACTAGTATAGTGCAGCTGATGGAGGTGGAGAGCACTTTGGAAAGATTTCTCAGATCTCTGAAGGAAGGGCCTTTTATCTGATTAATTTACTGCCTTACCTATAATAAGGACCAAATATATATATCTGTTTAATGAACATTAACTTTGTCTTCTCAGATTTCAGTGTCAATAGAACAAGAGGCCATATAAGAGAGCTTTTATTTCCATCTAAGTTCTATCAGTCCCTAAGAAAATGAATAAAATTACAAAAGAAGTATTTAGTAGACTTCTTAGACTTATAGTCATATGATTAACATGCCTTATCTTCTAGCTCACCCAAACTATGGAAAGCCAACTATGGTCTCCCAAGAATATTGGAAATACAAACTTGTTTTATTTGTTCTTCTAAATGGATTTTCTCAGGTGTGGGATACCACATTGTCATGGTGAAGGAAGCTCACTGTAATGTTGAAGAAATCTGCAAATTGCTTCAGTATCATATACCAACAGCCACTTTGGAGAAGAATGTTAATAATGAAGTATTTTTTATTCTACCCAAAGAGTACACACACAGGTATGAGTCCAGAGAATGTAAAATGATTGATGTTTAGATAACCAGATGTAATTATTGCTTTTCCTGGTTTCTTCAGGCTTAGCAAATAGAGTTTATTTAACAAGCCAAAATTCCAGTCATTGCTGTCACTTGCACTGAAAAGAAGGATGCCACACTTGGCTATAGCTTCCTGGTTTTAATTGGTTATAACTGGTGGTATGTTTTGGTAGAGTCAGAATTGGTGAGTGGAGTAAATGGAAATATAATGAGATGAAAATGATGTTAGTGGTGTCTCTTGAAGCCAAGGTGACAGGAACTCAGAGTAAATAGGCAGTTTGACTGCCCTCACTAGCCAAGTTTTTCCTCAAAGGCAGTCACGAAGAATAATAACTCTACCTGAGATAATCATCCTAATAAAGGGAAATGGAAACTAAGTGTAGTCATCAGTGACTTTCAGAGTATGATATTTTTATCTTCTTCTAATATATAAGTAAGTAGTTGCTGTACCATTTCCTAAAGTCAAGCCAGTTGTCATATTCCAGAAGAATATGAAGGACTTTAATGCCCCCTTTTCTAGGAAAAAGAGGGATGTGTCAAAAGGAGAAAAAGGAGGAAAAGGAACTGCATCATGACAACATTGTTTATTTAGTAAATCTGAAAGTTCTTGAGAAGTAGCAGCATGGAATAGTGTGATCAGGCAACAGAATGGAACCAAGATTCTAGCCATAAGCTGGAATGAGAGAATTAAATATCATAGAATATTAGAAATAAAATTCTAGATATGTATCCTCAGAGATCCATGGTGGTTGACTCATTCAGAAAAGTGGGGAACCAGATGGGTGCTTTGGCCCATTGTGATAGTTGTGATTGACGTGAAGCTGCAGAGTCTCTCTGAAGGAGACATAAAGGTAAAGCACTTGCTTAAACTTATCACACTATCTGCCTATCCTCATTCATATGGACACAAATGACATTCTCAAATAATGTCTAAAACAAGAAATGAAAGTATTCTGAAGCAGATGACATCTTTTATCATATCTTCATAGTTATAGTATCTTCATATTTTATCATATTTTCATATTTGGAAGCAGAAGATGTTTACCATATATTCTTACTAATCCCTTGGGCTTAGAGAACAGAAAAAAGAAGAAGATCCAAGAGGTGAACAACTAATTGTAGATTACTGGGCCATATAATGATGCACAGACTACAGAATAAACTTGAAAGTCATGAAATGAGGGAAGAATGTTTTTTTCTAACAGGGAGAGGTTTTATTTAAAAAAAAAGTTGGGTTTTTTTTTTTTTTAAGTAGGCTCCACAGCATGGAGCCCAACACAGGGTTTGAACTCACAACCCTGAGATCAAGACCTGAGCTGAGATTAAGAGTTGGATACTTAACTCACTGAGCCACCCAGGTACCCCAATAGGGAGATATTTTAAACTAAGAAATGGAAAAAACAATTTTAAGAAAAAGAAATAGCTATGGATCTATTTTTTTTTCAGAATATAATATGAAAAAAATGAAATGATGGTTGAATTCTTAGTGATCTTCATTCCAGCTAAGATTTTCATAGCTACTAGTAATTGAACACTGACTTTTTTGCAAGATATTGTTCTCATATGGATTTATTTACAAATCTGAATAAATAATGAGGCAGAAAAGAATTATTTTAATTACATATACCTGTATTCTGATTCATTGAATGTATCTCACAAGGAAAGTACTCTTGAAATTTTAAAACGGTAATGTAACTTGCTGTAAAACAATGCTGAGACTTGTTGGAATGAAGCTTTAGTTTAGAATGTTGCATGGCGAGTGGAGTGAATGGAAGTGATATGCAGAGACATAAAAGAGTTACCAGAATAGTGCTACATATCAGGAAATATTTATATGCTTAAAATTCATAAATAAGAGGCTGTAAATATAAAGGGAAACCAGTGGGTGACAATAGAAGAAAGAAACAAATACCATTTTGTGAAACTCCTACAAATTAAAAGGAGGAAATGTGTTATTCCTGGTACAAAGTTTAAGCAAGATAACATGGTAAAGAGAGTAATTCAAGTATAGACATGCAACAAATATTTCATTTACCTCAAAGCAGGTATCCTGATGGGTCTCTGAGGTTTGTGGCAACAATTACCTTTTAGAAAGACAGGGGGTTGGGGAGAGGGGGAAAAAGACGGGGGAAATTAAAACAAACTAATACTGTAAACCTAAATCTGATAATCAAGAAAATGTTGGTTGAAGGGAAAAAAAAGTCAGATATTTTATGGGAAATTTACCACATCATGGGGAACTTTATGGCAGGAAAGAAGAAAGGATCTTGGTAGATTTAGACACAGGCCAACATTATATAGAATATATATAAGATATATAGAAAAGCAAATTTCTGTAACATAACCTCAAGATTGTTTGAAAGTTTCAAAAATGAAATTCTGACAACAGATCCAAAAGATGAAAAAAATAGAATGACAGCTAAAATTCAATAAACAAGGATAAATAATAGAGCTGATACAGAATATCATCAGGAATTTTATCACCCCAATCTGTTGTTCTAAGGAAGTTTAAAAAGTAGTTCATTTAATATTAATTTGTGGTGTCTTGAGCAGGTTTAGCTCCTAAGCAGCAAAGTTGGAAAGATGTATGAGGGTTACAAGAACCTATTTTGTAGAGAAGGAGAGCTAATATTTGAGATAAGGTCCAGCAGATTAGCCAGGAAGAAAAAGAAGGGAAATTAAATGTGTACATGATAGATCCAGATAATTGTTATGCAAGGCCTCTCTGGAAGTATCCTGATAACCTTCCTCTAGTCTGGCCTTGACTTGTCTTAAAGGCATGAGATTTTGAGGTTGGGATCTGGAAATGAGAAAAAGAAAAGACTAAAATATTGTCACCAAGAATGTCAAGGAAAAGAAGCTTCGGTGCTGGCATCAAGGAAAGGAAATTTTTCAAATCCTGTTTTGATTCCATCTTTCAATCAAAGAGAATGATCTTTTAGTTTAAAATACAAGAACAAACAAAAAGGGAAAAATTTTCAGTGTATTTCTCAGAGCTATAAATAAGTTCAAGTCTCCAAGCTGTAATGAAGTGCCTATGAGACACTCACATCACTATGAAGTGATTGCAGAGGAATAAATGTTAGTTCAAGTGAAATAACTTTGCAACAAATAAGGGAAGAAAATAAAGTGTACTTAATTTTACCTCTTTCCAAGTGACTCTTTTTACAAAATGACTCTTAAGTTGAGAAAGATTATACCAAATAGTAAGATTAAATCAATAGTAAATCAAGAGAGATTAAATCAAATAGTAATGGTGATACAGTTGGATTAAAACGCAAGCCAGTTTATCTACAAAGGCTTATGTTCTCCCATCAACACCCACAGTGTTAGAAAACTGGAGATGTGCCAATCTCATTCTAATTTTAAACTTCAAAAATTGACACCAATGATCCCATGGTTGATTCAAAGCAAAACACATACACACACACCAAAACCTAGAATGATAACTAAGAAACAACTAAATCATGCAAAAACTCATCTTAGTCTTGGACAGAATTTCCTCCACATGTTTTATATGATTATAAGTCAGTCCTGGATAAATATCAATCATTTCATAAGAATGAAAGGGAAAAAGAATGGGCTGTAGAAAGGATTTTGAAATAAAAGCACCAATTTAAGAAATCATAAGAAATGCCTACTTTGAAAATAATTTCCAAAAATGGGAAACTTCAGAAATTCTCTTCTTTATAGTCTCAATCAAATTAAAGAGGACACTGTGAATCTAGAACAGTTTGGAGGAGAGAAAATGAGATAAAATGATGTGAAATCCTGATTGATTAATAAAGATCTGACCAATACTTATGGCAGAAAAGAGAACTACTGAAAGAGAACACCATGTCAAGAATTCTTCCCAGAATTAAGAGGCCAGGTACTTTGTGATCTTCAGAGACGGAGTTCACTCAATGTTTCTGCATGTCATGTCAACACCAGAGAATGGGCCTATGGAAGTATTCTTTTCCCCAAACTCTCACTTAGCTCAAAATCCAAAGAGATGTATTTCTTTGAGTACCAATGGTTTGTAAAAAAAAAAAAAAAAAAAAAACCTACAGAATTTTTAAGATTCTCTTGTTTTTCTTCTTCCAGATTTTAAAACTTAACTAAAAAAAAAATCAGTCACCTTGCTTTAGGAAGGTTTTGCTGCAAACCTATCAGCCCTACCTCACAAAATAAAGTTTAGTAAAACATTAAAAAATATGAATAAGTAAAGGAATCTGATGAATAGAAAAAAAAGAATTCTTCCCAGAACTATGAGGAAACCTGCAAAAAATAAAGAGACCAACCAGTATATTACCACTACACACCCACAAGAATGGCTAAAATTAAAAAGACAGACTATAGCATATGAATATGATAAATGGATCTCTTTGCTAACAGAAGTATAAAATGGTAAAACTGCTTTGGAAAATGAGTGGCCATTTTTACTAAGCTAAATATGTGCTTATCCTATGACCCTGCAATTATTCCTAGTATATACCTTAAAGACAAATGTCCATCAGAACAGATGTAAGAGAGTGTTTATATTTGTAGACACTATTCATAATAGCTCCAAACCAAAGCCACCAAAATGTCCATCAACAGGAAAATGGAAGAATATAGCAATAAAAAAGAATAAACTAATGGTATATATGGCATGAATGAATCTCACAGACATTGAAACATTGGATAAAAGTACAAGCTGTAGGATTCCATTTATATGAAGTTCAAGAAAAGAAAAAATCTTTATGTAATTCTAAAATTAAAATTACCTCTATAACAGGGGTGTCTGGCTGGCTCAGTCAGTAGAGCATGGGACTCTTGATCTCGGGGTTGTGAGTTTGAGCCCCACATTAGGTATAGAGATTACTTAAAATCTTTTTTAAAAATAATAAAAATTACCATAAGATGCATAGGTAGGGGTGTGTGTGTGTGTGTGTGTGTGTGTGTGTGTGCGTGTGCGTGGTGTGTGTATGCACACGCGCATGTGCGTGTATGGACACTGGGAAAGAAGTTAGGGACTAAGAAAGGACCTGTTAGAATCTCCCTGTGGGATTCTGGAAAAGTTCTCTATCTTATCTGGATGGTTATCCATGTATGTACTATATGTACTTATGTGAAAATTCATTTACAAGTAGTATACTTTGTTATGCCTCAGTAAAAAAAAATAAATATTTAAAAATATATGTAATGGAAAAAACTTTGTAATGGATAGAAGTAAGTACATCAAATGTTAACAGTGGTATACTTTAGGTGGTCACATTTTTTTTGTTTTTATATTTTTCTGTATTCTCATCTTAAGTAGACAATATATTGTCTTTATAACATCTATATATTAAATATATATGTATTATATATATAAAACAAATAAAACATAATGGGAAAAACAACTATACTCAAGGTGGTCAAATTTTTTTCTTTTTAATATTTTTTGTGTTCTTCTCAAGTATAATATATATAATGTATACAATATTTATATTTGTTAAATATATATTTTTATATTATATATAAAAAACATATTAGAAAAATATGTTTTTTGCATAATGATTGGCTCATAGAATTTTTTAATTTATTTATCTATTACTATCTTTTTTCTTTACTGAATATCACTAAGGAGCCTAGGGTGTGCTAATCAACATGTGATTGCATTATGACCAAATCAAGAAACTTATTTAGTTCTGGAGTATATGAATTAGAAAGTGAAAGTCTCCCATAATCACTTCCTATGGGAATAATCACTGGGAAATTTTCTGTGTATATTTCTCAGGATCATTAAATGCCTATACTGACATGAGTATAATATGTTGTACATCACATACATACATTGATATGGATACAATAATAATTAGTTTTATGATTTAACAGAAATGAAATCCTATCATAATAATGTTCTGAATCTTGTTTTGTTTACTTACCTGCATTTTTGGTCAACTGTTTATGGTAGGACTTTTAAGACTTCCCATTTTTAAGATAACCAAGGAGAAATCTACACTTTACTTAGATCTTATTCTTTCATAATATCATACCAGAATGTATTCATTAAGCTGTTAAGGAATATTTATCTCTACTTAGTGCTCTATTTGTACATTTTAAAGCCTCATACAGTTTAATTTTGTCATATATGGTATAAAGCCAAAGGAAACAAAAATAAATAATATGCCAAAATATTAGTGTATTAACAGTGGATATCTATGGGGCATGATATTGTGATATTTATATTTTTGTACATTCCTTTCTAAATTTTATATGATGCACACATTAATTTCTTACTTAAATCAAAGAAAAAGAAGAAAATGTGAATCCTGGTTGAAAAGCCAAGCATTGGGAATGAAGAAGCACCAGAGGAAATGGACTTAAGACATGTGAAGGGCTGTCATGTGGGTAGATTAGACCTGTTCTATATAATTAATGGTGTAAATTTAGAACCAATGTGCAAAACTAAATAGAATTAAATGGAAAATAATTTAAGTTTGAATATGGAGGAAATTTTGATAGATCTTCCAAAAGAGGGAATTTTGAGTTCCTCCAACACTGAGAGTATGCATATAATGCTCCTCATTGAAAATACATTTGATGGTTTTGAGACCTAGAGGTTTTTGGAAAAGATCATCTTATAAATGTGAAGTACTATAAAATCTTCGCAGGAAAACTATTCTTTGAAAGTCTTGATGTCTCTACATTGCATCTGGCTCAAATTCCATGGCTTTTCTTGACTATTGAATCACTTGGTTCTGTCCATGTCTCCTATTTCTATTGCACCTACTCCATTATCTATGTGAGTGGCTTTTTTCTCCTGTTAATTTGAATAATTTTTTTAAAAACTTACTGAATAATAAGAACCATAGCATTTATATGTGTGTGATAAGTTAATTCATGTGAACTAGCTAGAGTTACTAGCATTTATAGTCTCATGGTAGTTTATTAGAAGACCAAAATTATGTGTTTTCAAGAATTAAGTAGAGTGGGAAACAATGTGCTAGAGCAGTTTACTAGTTTCTATTATAAGTACTGAAGTGAAGAATGAGCTACATTTTCCCCACTGCTGAAGGGAAATCAGTTCAGAATAAAAATATATAAATATGAATATCTTCTGATTTGGTACTAACTTTTATTCCTCTTTTCCCTTCCCCCTTTTCCTTCCCCTTCTTATTTTTTTTCCTAATTCATATCCTAGCTTTGAAGCTCTATTTACTGCTCTGGAAAAGAGACGATACAAGTTAGGGATTGCTAGCTTCGGTGCCTCTATTACTACCATGGAAGAAGTCTTTTTTAGGTGAGCGAGGATGCATAAGGAAAATAAAAACAAAAACCATCGGGGAGGAAGAACCACATCTTGGTCCCTTTTGTAAACTCACCAAACTCAGAGTCACACATTAGAAAGTAAAGAGATGAGGAGAGGAGAGAGCAGACATGATTTTTTTTTTACGGTAATAACCCCCAAAAAACACCACTATCACTTTTTTTATTATGTTACATTAATCAGCATACATCACATCGATTAGTTTTTGATGTAGTGTTCCATGATTCATTGTTTGCATATAACACCCAGTGCTCCATTCAATACTGCCCTCCTTAATACCCATCACCGGGCTAACCCATCCCCCCACCCCCTCCCCCCACACCACTATCATTTTTAAAAAGAGCAGATATTTTGATTCATCCAAAGTATGAATTAGATGTTAATTTTTAACTTGAATGGGTTCAATTTAATGCAACACTCAATACCTTGCCCTAATTTTCCTAGCCTTACTATGGTCTGCCAGCAGTCCTGTGACTGGGGTTTGGGAACCACTCTTCTACCAGAGTTTACCCTGTTGCTTCCATATAATGCCCCTGCCAAGTCAGTAAGCAAACCCAGGAGCCTTCTTTTTTTTTTTTTAATTTAAAATTTTTTAAAGATTTTATTTATTTATTTGAAAGAGAGAAACACAGCGAGAGAGGGAACATAAGCAGGGAGAGAGGGAGAAGCTGGCTTCCTGCAGAGTGGGGAGCCCGATGCGGGACTCGATCCCAGCACTCTGGGATCATGACCTGAGCCAAGGCAGATGCTTACAGACTGAGCCACCCAGGCGCCCCACCCAGGAGCCTTCTGAGTTGAATGTTGTAACTCACATTCTCCAAACAAGATATGGGGTAGAGTTGAATGCTTTGTTACTTTTTTTTTTTTATGTAGAGTCAGTAATCTGGAAGATTCACAAACAGATATCCAAGCTATCCAAACTCCACCTCCTGCTGTGATGAATGAAGTATCAGTTAAGAACCAGAATAGGAATATGTCAAGCAATTGTTCTACCATGAACGAAAGCCCTGCTATTATGTTTAATACTGGGGTAAGCACCTTTGCTAAGAAACCTGATGTATATTTATTTGATTAGGGTACAAGAGGTACATTTTTGTTTCCTATTTGAATGAAGGTAGTGTGGAGTTCTTAACCACTGCATCCTACCAGACAGGGAGCAGTCTGTACCACAATCTAATTAATTTCCTAATGCAGAAGCTAAAAGGTCTAGGTAAAAATCACAGCTCTCACTCACACCATTGCTATTCCTCAGTTCTTTTTTATGTCTTAGAATTCTTTTTTTTTTTTTTTCAAATTGCTAACCCAGAAATTTGGTAGTTCACTGAAGCTGGAGTACACTGGAAAGAGCATGATTTTTAGTAATCAAACATGCCCAATATTGTAAGTTTTTGCAATGGGAATTGATAATGCATAAGGGATGTTTCCCTAATCGGTGCAGTTCTCAGTATGGGAAGTCCTTGTGAGTTGCCCAGCATTTCTTTCCTTCTCCTTCTAATTATCTCTTCCTCCTATAAAGAAGCCTGGTTTTCTTGACTGTTAAGAGTCTGGGGAAAATCATCCTGTTGAGATTTCAAGTGTGTTATATGAAAATTCAGACCTTACACACTGTATTTAACACCTTAAAATAGAGGTCAGCAAACTTACACAAGGGAATAATCGATATGTAAGGCGGGGTTGGCCACATGGTCTCTCTTGCAGTCGTCCCATCCTGTCCTTGTAGCACAAACACAACCATAGACAACACAGAAATGAACGGATGTAGCTGTGTTCCAGGAAAACTTGATTTACAACACAGATCATAATTTGTTGACTCCTGCCTTATGAAGAAAAGACTGATCATTCTCTTATGTAGTATCATACTGTGCTTCGATTCTATTCTCAGTATTTATTTAGATAAATTTTATGTGTCTTCTACCCTAAAATTCCAGAGTGTTCATTCATCTTAATGAATTTCATCAGGAATGATCTGTTTGGGTCCGTGAATATTGTAATATTATGTTTCTTTTTTCCTTCTTTAGTATTCCCTCTATCATCAGCAGTTCTGTGCCTTGTTCATAAAGAGGGCGATGTTCAGTTGGCGGAATTGGAAACTGATTTTGCTACAGATACTGGCACTTCTAGTTTCCTTTACTTTTCTCTCAGAGGCTAATAAGTTTTTACATACTAAAGATGAAAAGGCCAGACAAATGGATTTGGATCAATATGGCCAAACAATTGTGCCTTTATCTATTTCTGGGAATTCTAATTTGACCCTGATTTTCCTAAAACATCTTAGGAGTATGCTAGAGTCTCACAAACACACACTTAAGGAAGTGCAAGGTAAGACTCTAGGTAAAAAAGACTGCTCTTAGATGAAGATCTGGTTGTGTGATTTGCAAAGAAGGTCAACTATATATTTGGCTACAGTATAACTAAAGACTTAATGTGCTAGCTCCTCTGAATACATTTATTTTTAAGATAGTAATAATAAAAATTTGCATTTGCTGAGCACTTGTTTTTGGCAAGAACACAGCTAAGTATCTTACCTGTGTATCATTTAAAATGAGCAATCACCCCGATTTAGTAGATATTTTTATTACTGATATCAGTTAAATGAGGAGCACTGACATTTAAGGAAGTCCAGTAATTTGCACCAAATCAGACATGTAGTAAAAATACAGAGACGTGAATTTAACCTGTCCTACCTGATGTCTGCAAACCACTCACTACATGACATTACTTCTCTGATCATAAAGTTTATTCTCTTTCAAGTCATCAGTTCCTCCCAGATACTATATTTTTTTTTAACTGCCACCTGATGAACAGTGTTCTTCTGAGTTAGCAAACAGCCTGCAGTATTGGCAAACCTGTGTGGTTCTTTTATTTCTCTCATTGAGGTTCTGTTGTGAAAATACATTTCGGAGATGATTGTTCCTTATAATACGGATTCTACAACCTACAAGTAATAGATTGGCTGACTACAAATAATTGTGCCTATTATTCCTCCGCTATAAGTAGTAAGTAAGCATTTGTTAACCAAGGTCACACATGAGGACAGAGGGTGAAGGATAAAATAATTATTTTTTTAAAAATTACAGTATACTGCTTATGTTAAAAAAGTAAAATGATTAACTGAATATACTTGTTATATTGATAATGAGACTAAATACAATAGAATAATACAGTAGCCCCACTGATATCCAGTTTCAATTGTTATTGTTTTATTCATTAGCTAGAAATTATCTGGGCATAGAGAGATAATATTTAGGCTTAACCAGTCCCACTTTGTTTTAAGAAACTTACATGTACTTTTCTAAGTTGTGCTCTCATTCTCTTAGCCACAGAACCTTGTATAAGTGAATTCTACTAATTCTATATGGTTTCTCTTCCAACCTGCATGCCTTTTCTAACTGAATTTTTTAGTATAAAGATAGAGCAAGAAATCCTTTATAACTTGCTCTCTCTTTTCCCCAAACTACAAGAAAATGTTTTGGGGGGCACCGGTGTGGCACAGTGGGTTGAGCATCCACACTTGGTTTTGGCTCAGATTGTGATCTCACGGTTGTGTGGGGTTCCATACTCAGTGTGGAGTCTGCTTGAGCTCTTTCCCTCTCCCTCTGCCCCTCTCACTCGTGCACACACACACTCTCTCTCTCAAATAAATCTTTAAAAAAGAATGTTTATTAATGAGGAAATAGATTTCTAGATAATTTCTCATCTGTAGCTTTCTTCTCAAATAATACATGCATTAACACTGGGGAAATCACTGCTAACTTTTTAAGCAGAGCCATAAAATAAGTGGGTATGTGCTTTAGAAAGGATATGAGCTTATAATAACTGAAAAATGTCACCTGCCCTCCCAAACAAAAGTTTACATTTCCTCTCCATCCACAATTTAGATGAATGCCTCTTTTTTGGAATTTATCTCACTGAATTACAGTAGAACATTTTTCATGCTTTTCTCAAACTAATTATGGAGAGGCCACAACTTCTTTTATATCTCTAGAACCTAACCCAATTCCTGGCACACAATGAGTGTAAAATTGAAATAGTCTTATCAAATTGAATTAAATGTGAGGAAATGATTCAAAAGGGGACAGATCCAATGTCAATGAAGTCGGCTGGGATGTAATTGTGATAATCGAGGCAAGAGAGATTAAGGCTGTGAAAGAAGGAAAGAAAGATAGATTTGAAAGATATCTGAAGAGCACTAAAGTAGATTTTGTTTTCTCTTTAGAAGTGGAGGAGAGAAGAACCATTAACACTGAATTTGATACTTTAGCTTTTTATTTTGTGAGATAATTGTCAATTTACTGTTGTGAAAAATAATACTGAGAGATCTTGTGTACCAATGGTAACATCTTGCAAAACTACACTACAATATCCCCACCAGGATTTTGACATTAATACAGAACATTTGCTTAACCACAAGGATCACTACTGTTGCTCTCTTCATTCCCTCTCTACTCCGGCAATCACTAATCTGTTCTCCATTTGTATAGTTTAATCATTTTGGAATGACAAAAAAATGGAATAATCATATAATATGTACACTTCTGGGATTGGCATTTCACTCAACATAATTCTCTGGTGTTCTATCATTCATTCCATCATATGCTATGAGCCGTTCCATCATGGAGTTGTACCACAGTTTGTTTAACCATTCACCATCAAAGGACACCTCATTTCCCCCCTCTCCCAGGTTTTGTCTTTATGAATAAAGCTGTTATGAAATTTCATGTACAGGTTTTTGTGTGAATCTATATCTTCAGTTCTATGGGATAAATGCCGGGGATTGTAATTTTAATTGTTGACTCGTATGGTAGTTGCATGTTTGATTTTTTGAAGAAACTATAAAACAGAGTGTACCCTTTTACATTCCCACCAACAACAAATGAGTGATCCAGTTCCTCAGCATCTTCCCCAGCATTTGTGTTGTCACTATTTTTATGTTTATTTTTCATTCTTATAGGTATGTAGTGATATTTCATTGTTGTTTTCATTTGCCTTTGACATCCTTTTTTGTGTTTATTGACATCTGTGTATTATCTTCACTGAAATGTGTATTCATGTGTTTCAGTCATTTTCTAAGTGGATGGTGTTTTTTTTTTTTTTTACTCTTGAGTCTTGAGAGTTCTTTATATAGTTTCTCTCATAATGTTTATCTTTTCATTGTCTTAATGGGATTTGTAGGATAAAAGTTTTTTATTTGGATAAAGTCCAATATATCCATTTTTTTATGGATTGTGTATTTGGTGTCAAGTCTAAAACTCATTACCTAACCCTAGATCCTGAACATTTTATCTTAAATGTTTATAGTTTTCTAAAAGTTTTAGCTTTTTACTTAACATCTAAATTCATGATCCATATGGCATTAATCTTAATAATAAATATGAGTTGTGGGTCAAGGTTATATTTTGTGCTTGTGGCTGTCCAATTGCTCCAGCAGCATTTGTTAAATTATGATATCCATTAAAAGTTTTTTGCTCCTTTATCAAAAATCAGTTGGGTGTGTGTGAGTCAGTTTTGGGATTCCTTTTTATACTCCATTAATCTGTGTGTCTGTTCCATCACCAATATCATGCTTGAAATCTGGTAGACCAATTCCTCCCACTCTTTTCTTGTTTTCTAAAGTTGCTTAGTTCCTTTGCTTTCCATTTAAATTTTAGAATAAGCTTGTCTATAAATACAAAAACTTTTTGTTGGAATTTTGATAAGATCTTATTAAATCTGTATATCAATCTGGGGAGAAGTGACATCTTTACTGTGTTATATATTCTGATCCATGAACACAACTGATTTATTTAGAATTCCACTTATTAAGAACTTTTTTGTTTCTTTCATCAGTGTTGAGTACTTTTCATCACACATATCCTGTACATGTTTTGTTAAATTTACACCTAAGTATTTCTTTTTTGAGTAAATGTAAATGGTATTGTAGTCTTAATTTTGGTGTCCATATGGTTATTCTAGTGCATAGAAAATAATTGATTTTTGTATGTTTATTTTGTAACTTGCAACCTTGAACTCATGTATTAGTTTAAAAAAAGTTTTGTGAATTCCTTTGGATTTTCTACATAGACAGTCATGTCACCTGCAAATAAAAGCAGTTTCATTTCTTCTTTTATTATCTGTATGCCTGTTATTCCCTATTTATGCTTTACTGCACTGGGTAGAACCTCTAGCACAGTGCTAAATCAGGGTGGTGAGAATGGTCATTCTTGTTCCCAGTTTTAGGAGGAAAGTATGCAGTCTTTCATCAAAAAGATAATCTTAGCTGTAGAGATTTTTTAGATGTTCTATATAAAGGTGAGGAAGTTTAGCTCTATAACCTTTTTTTCAGAGTTTTCTCATGAATGATTACTGAGTTTTGTCAAAATTTTTTCTGCATAATTTGATATGATTATTAATGGTTTTTCTACTTCAGCCTAAAATATGGTGAATAACACTGGTTGAGTTTTAAATATTGAACCAGCCTTGAATCCCTGGAATAGACCCCGTTTGACCATAGTTGTAATTCTTTTTATATATTGATGAATTTTATTTGCTAGTATTTTGTTAAGGGGTGTTACATTATATTTGTGAAAGATATTGGTCTGTAATTTTCCTTTTTCTTGGTACTGTCTTTTATGATTTTTCTATCAGGGTAATACTAAGTTGATAAAATGAATTCAGAAATGTTCCCTCCTCCTGTATTTTCTGAAAGATATTGTGTATAATTAGTGTTGACTCTTCCTTAAATATTTTGTAGAATTTTCCAGTGAAAACATCTAGACCCAATCGCTTCTTGGCCTTTTGGCTAAGATCAAGTGAAAACATCTAGACCTAGAGATTTCTTTTGGGAGGAATTTTTAATTTATGAGTTAAATTTCCTTAAAAATTATAATTATTCAAATTACCTATATCATATTGGAAGAACTGTTGTAGTTTGTGTGTTTTGAGGAAGGGTTCTATTTCATCTAAAATGTCAAATTATATGTGTAGAGTTGTTCGCAGTATTCCTTTATTAACCTTTTGATGTCTACAGGATCTGTAGTGATTTCCCCTATGTCATTTCTAATATTGGTAATTTATGTTTTATTTTTGTTTCCCATTCTCTTTCTCACTGTGCTTTTAGCTGAGTATTTTCTAATCAACCTGTCTTCCAGTTTCCTGTCTATTCTTCATTTGTGTCCAACCTGCTATTTATTAATTGTAGTTGATTTTTTTCGACTCTAAAATCAATATTTGATATTTCCTATGGACTTCAGTTCTCTCATAAATATTCTGTCTCTAATGTCTAGTTTATATGTGGATGTATTTCTATTATCTGTGCTTTTTTTGGTTCTGTTTTTTGGTATACCTAGTAATTTTTTAATTGAATGCCAGATATTGTGTATGAAAATTACATAGACTCTACTTGAGATTATCTTCTCCAGAGGAGGCTTAATTTAATTTCTGAAAGTCAGTGAGATTAAGAGAAGATCTAAATCCAATCAGGGATTTAAGTGATTTAAGACTGGGTTGAAATTTTTATAAGAACTGATCTATACCTTCCTATTACTCTTAGGGTATAGCCCTTCAGGAGCCCCACTGAAAGCTTGAGGATTTACCAATGCATTCCATAACTTATAAATCTAAAATGCCTTAAAGGGAAAAGGGGTATGGAATGTTTGGTTCAATTCAGTGCATTTCCATCCTTCTAGGGGCTTATCCCACAAATGTTGGTTGCTTTTTTAGGTATCTAATACCTTCAAAGAGGTGATTTCTTATTTATTTAATCCAGTTTTTTTTTATTTTCACAGAGGAAGGTTTTTTTCTGCTTTAAGCAATAAAATATGTAAGTGGAAATATTTATGGATCTCTTTAAGATAGATTAGGGGTAGCTCGGTGGCTCAGTTGGTTAAGCATCTGCCTTTGGCTGAGGTCATGATCCCAGGGTCCTGGGCAAGGAGACTGCTTCTCCCTCTCCTCCCCATTCATGCTTTCTCTTGCTATCTCTTTCTCTCTCTCTCAAATAAATAATTAAAATCTTTAAAAACAAAAGAAAGATAAGAAAATCTATACTATGTTGCCTGTGTTTTCTCAGTGAAGTACGAATCTATGTCACAGACTCTGAAGTGAGAGAGCTTGGAATTGAATGATAGAATAGAGTGCTTAAAGAGAATGACAAATGTTTGAAATAATCATTATAAGAAACTTGAAAGGGATGAGAACCAAGTAAAATTATTTGTTCCTTTTCCCAATATATGTTGTAGATGATTTCTTTTGTGGATAAACTGACCAAAGCTATTTCCTCATCCTAGGTGACCTACTGAAATACTTAATGGAAAATGAAGATTGTATTCACTTATGCATTGTTGCCTTTTCTATTGAGGTGAAGACAAATAGAATAATTCTTACTGGTCTTTTCAATGATCAAGCCTATCATTCACCATCTCTGACCCTGGCAATATTAGACAACATTCTTCTCAGGACAATTGCTGGCTCTAATGCTTCCATAACAGTCTTCAATAAACCTCAGCCACACTCTAAGTATAAAAAACAAAGTGGAACATATGTTATTCTTTTAATTAAAATTTGATTTTTTTATTTTTTAATTAACATATGTATTATTTGTTTCAGGGGTACTGGTCTGTGATTCAGTCTTACACAATTCACAGCACTCACCATAGTACCTACCGTCCCCAATGTCCATCCCATCCTCACCCCATCCCTCCTGCCCCCCTCCCCTCCAGCAACCCTCAGTTTGTTTCCTGAATTTAAGAGTCTCTTAAGATTTTTCTCCCTCTCTGGTTTCTTCTTGTTCCATTTTTCCCTCCCTTCCCCTATGATCCTCTGTCTTGTTTCTCAAACTCCTCATATCAGTGAGATCATATGATACTTGTCTTTCTCTGGCTGAACTATTTCGCTTAGCATAATACCCTCTAGTTCCATCCACGTTGTTGCAAATGGCAAAATTTCTTTTTTTGATGGCTACATAATATTCCATTGTATATATATACCACATCTTCTTTATCCATTCATCTGTTGATGGATATCTAGCTTTCCATAGTTTGGCTATTGTGGACACTGCTGTTATAAACATTGGGGTGCATGTGCCCCTTTGGATCACTACATTTGTATCTTTGAGATAAATGTCAAGTAGTGCAATTGCTGGATCATAAGGTAGCTCTGTTTTCAACTTTTTGAGGAACCTCCATACTGTTTTCCAGAGTGGCTGCATCAGCTTACATTCCCACCAATAGTGTAGGAGGGTTCCCATCCTTGCCAACATCTGTCGTTTCCTGACTTTTTATAAAATTTGACATTTTTTAAAGATTTATTTGAGAGAGAGAGAGAGCAAGAACAGAAGCAAGGGGAAGGGTCAGGGGAGAGGGAGAAGCAGACTCCCTGCCTCAGGGCTAGATCCCAGGACCCCAGGATCATGACCTGAGCAGATGCTTAACCAACTGAACCACCTAGGTACCCCTAAAATTTTATATTTTAAATGCATCTCTCCTATCCTATATGATTATATTTACATGATTAAAAATAGCTATTGATAGAAATTTATGTTTTCTGCTGTATTGATTTCCTGATATATCTACTTTTGTTCCTTCTTCTGTAGATTATTGGATGGATTCCAGGTGGCCTTATATATACATTTTGGCATGGCTTTCTTAATCAGTGGCTTTTGTCTCCTGACGGTGACTGAACGAGTCACTATAGCAAAGCACATCCAATTTCTGAGTGGAGTTTTTGTCCCTGTATACTGGCTTTCTGCTCTACTGTGGGATTTCATCATCTTCTTCATTACCTGCTGCTTACTACTCGTAAGTGTTAGATACAGTTTGTTGAGGGCTCATTTTCCTTCTGTATCCCCTGGAAAACTCCTATTTTCTTATTATGTAACTCAAAATATAACTGTACTTGGAAATAGGGCCTTGAAAGAGGTAGTTAAGTTAAAATGAGGTAGTTAGGGTAGGCCCGAATCCATTCTGACTGGTATGCCTTTTAAGAAGAGGATATTTGAACGTACAAAAAGATACAAGGAGTATGCATACACATGGTAAAGACCATGCAAGGACACAGCCAAAAGGTGGACATTTGCAAGCCAAGGAGAGAGACCTTAGAAAAACCAACCCTAAGAGAAGATGGTGGCAGGGTAGGAGGATGCTAGGCTCATCTCCTCCCAAGAACACAACTAGATAACTATCAAATAATTCTAAATACTCCAGAAATCAACCTGAAGACTGACAGAACAAACTCCACAACTAAAGGGAGAGAAGTGGTTTAGGGCAGAAACAGACCACTAATGCAGTGGAGGGGAGGGAGTTGTGGTCACAGAGAAGGGTGAGAGAGTAGAGGATAAGGGAATGCACAAGGGGAGCATTTCCCCAAAGCCACTGCTGGGAAAATGAGAGGGTATGATTTTTTGAGTTCCTACAATCATTAGGGCCTAAAGCCTGGAGTTTTAAAGGTCAGCAGGTTTGGCTAAGATAGAGCTGTGGAGGTACTATGCTGCTCCTGGAAAGAAGACAGGCAAACAATCCAGAGGCAGACAACATGGAAACCGTGATCTGAAAAACACCTGGGACACACAGGGAGCAGATTATTTGTTCTTCTCAGAGTGCTTCCCTGAAAGGCAGCATTCACAGAGACACCTCTCTGGGAGACAAACGAGCTGGCTGCTATTATTTCACCCCCCTGCCCCTCATCAAAAATACACAACCACCTTCAGGAAGCAGTGCAGCACCTACACAGGGTGCCTAACTTGCTTACAATAAGTCCCACACCCCTGTGCTGTGGTGGGACTGCC